GAAGAGAACAGGGAGGGTCTAGAGACATTTTGCTTCCTCCATCATCGTGACCGTAATGTGCTCTGGTACCAAAAATAAAAGTGCACTCAAGAGATATATGACAGAGGAAGTATTTTCAAACAGTCTCCCACCCAGACAAAACAACAGTTCAGCTCCAGCTCTGAACATGGACAGAGTTCGGAAGGTGGGACTTCTTGCTGCCCTTGATGTGGAACGAGAGCGTCAAGCCTTTTCAACACAAAGTCACTGATGGGACCAGTGTCCTCTAAGCCACTCACAAGGCCTGTGACTGGAGTGGCTCTGTCCCTCGGCAGGGGACCCTGGAAAGAGACCTCAAGCAGTGTACTGCCACAGGGAGGCCACATGGGCCCACTGAGGGCAAGAATAAGAGGCAGCCACCCAGCTGGCACCAGAGTCAACAGACCACAGTTTACTTCTCTGGCTGTCCAGAGAGAGTAATGGGAACCTTCGAGAGAAATTCTACCAACCTCCCGGAAGAAAGCAACACTTTGCCAGACCCTCTTTCACTGTGTCCCCCAGAATCCAGGAGCTCTCCCCCTTGGCCAGAAACACCAGGGACCAAAGCAAAGGACGAGCCCCGTACACAGTGAACAAAGGTGGTCCTGTAGCTCGTCTCCTTCCCCAGAGTCCTCTGCATATGATGGATGGGGATTCCACGACCTAACCAGGACAGAAACTCTGGCTTTCCTCTCATAGCCTGTGCTATGATCTGGATATTGATAGATTCCCCAGTAGCCCCTCACTCCAGCACACCACACAGTGGACCCCTCTCATGGCTCTGCACAGCCAGCCAGTGTCCCACACCCCAGACTGGTACGTTCCTCCTGGATCCAAAGACATCCAGCTACCTCCTGGATGGTTTCCAGTAGTCACTCCATGTCCCCACTATCCATAAGGCTTGTGATATCAAAGCTCTCAGTCAGGGGGCTATAAGCTGGTCCAGACCCCTGTCATGTGAACCTTCCCAGAGTAGCCCAGAGGCATGAGACAAACAGGAACAGTAGATCTCATTAGAGGAGGCGTGAAAACAGTTTCCCCATCTGCTGGGGGGGGGGGCAGGGCTTTGCTTTCTCCCAAGCAAAGGCCAGCACTAAAATCCAAAAGTGACCCCACTTCTGCCTAGAGCCAAGGATCAAAAGACCCCTGGCCACAGACCAGGCCCTGCCCCTACTGCCCAGTCCACATGGAGGACAGATTGGACAGACTTGCCTTAAAGGGGAGGGAAATGAAGAAATGAACAGGAGTTCCATGTGCCTGCAATGCCTCAGCCAGATAGGCAGGCTTAGACTGCTGAGGTCTATCTCACACCTAGCCTGCTGTAGCACCCCTGCTCTGTCCCCCACTCTCAGTGACATCCCATAGTAGCAACACCAGCAGGTACTCAGGGAGCCACACTAGTCATCTGGCAAGAGTAGGAGCCAAGAATCGTGCCATTCTCCAAAACCGAGAATGGTCTCCCTCTTCCCAGATTCCCTTCTCTCTCTGCCTCCTCGGGCAACAGGCATGCTGGGCACAGTCCAGGATCCTGGACCAGAGACCTTGACCCACCCCCCACTCCCATACAGTCTGTACCATCAAGGCTACTTCTCCACAAGGCCTAGGACATGCCAGGCAGGAGGGAGGGGAGTGCCTCCCAGGAGCCATGAGGGAGAGCAACGTTTCAGGTCCTGCTGAAGGTCCCTAAGGGACACCACTGACCCTCCGTGGAAAGCCACATTACAACTGCAAAGCCAAGGAGTGGCACGAGACCTCTAGCACTTTGTCTCAGAAGGATTGATGACAGCTCAACACCCACCAAATAAACCCAGCCTGTATACACAGGCAGGGCACCCTGGAAACGCTGAGGACACAGCACCTAAATCCTATTCTTGGGCCAAAAATGCAGGCATGCTGCAGTGTGGACAGCAGTCCTGGCCCCCAGTTCATCCAGGCTCTCCTGGGATACTCAGCCCTGGAAGGGGAGCTAACTCTACAGGCCAGTGGGGTAGGCTTACACATCCAGCCAGCACTTTCCCAGTTGGCCCCTGCCTGACAGCTGCCCCTCCCTCCCAGCAAGGGAGGGTCTGTAAACACCCCCTGTGACAGGAGCTGCCTTCTCTTCCAAGGCTGGTCCCAGGACCGCTACGGTTGCAGTTTATTATATAATCTTGAGGGCCAGGCC